TTACTAAAACTGGTAAATGAAAGTGATCAAAATGGCAAAAATCGCGCCGTGTTAATTTATTTAACAATTTATTACCTTTAAAAAAACTAAGTTTGTTCTCGGCAAAATACAAAAACTTCATACGAAAGCTGCACTCTTTGCCTTTAAAACGCATTTTGATTTCTGTCGATAGGACATTTGGATCAAATTTTTACCGTCGAGCTGATACAAATTTTATTGAATCTTAATTTCGCCCACGTAACTGCCATGCAAAATCGACGGTCGCTTCAAGGGTTATTTATAAAATAACGGTACATTCTACACAAAAAATGTTTACAAATATTTTTGTTTAAAATTAATCTCAGCTATATTTTTTATTTGAAATATTTTTTCTACGGTGTAAAAATTCTTGGTAAATTTAGCCCGGGGCTAAAAGTGGTAATTTTTTTTGCATCTTTTTTGGGGTCACAAAATTAATATTCTCTACAAAATTCAGCTTGTTAGTATCATTTTTTAGAACAAAAGATGAAGTTGACATCAAGCAAAGAAGAAAGTACTGAGGAAAACTGGACGAGAATTAAAGACATCTTAAAGACTGTTCAAGAAACAAAATTGAGTGCGCTAAAAGCAAGAAAAAAACAAGGGTCGATGACAGAAGAAATACTGAGACTTATGGATCAAAGAAGAGAAGTCAGAAATACAGATAAAAACGAATACAAGAGGATCCACGCAATAATCAGGCAGAAGATAAGACACGCGAAAACACAATTTCATAGTAAAGAATGTAATGAAATTCAACAATATGAAAAGAAACACGATACATTTCATCTGCACAAGAAATTGAAAGAGGTCGCTGGAAACAAATGGAAACAAGTATCCCAAAGTTTAGAAGACAGAAACGGACACAGAATATTAGACATCAATGAAAAGTTAAATGAATGGGAAAACTATATTTCTGAATTATTTGAAGATGAGAGAGTAGAACACTATACACCGATTGCTATATCAGGTCCATCTATAACAGAAAGTAAGGTAAGACGTTCAATACAAATGGCAAAAAATGGAAAAGCACTTGGCCTCGATGAAGTAAGTGCTGAAATACTAAAGTTTTTGGGAGAAAATGGAATTAAAGCTCTGTGTAATCTCTTTAACAGAATTTATGACACTGGGATATTACCAACTGATTGGTTAAAGTCGACATTTGTCATAATACCTAAGAAACATCGTCCAAAGACATGCGGTGATTATCGGACAATAAGTCTGATGAGTCACGTTTTGAAAATCTTTCTGCGAGTAATACACAGCATAATTTACACGCTGTTAGAGGACAGAATTAGCAATACTCAATTTGGGTTTAGGAGTGGCTTAGGTACAAGAGAAGCCTTGTTTAGTATACAGGTACTAGTACAGAGATGCAGAGATATAAATCAAAATGTGTATATTTGTGCAATCGATTTTGAAAAAGCTTTTGACAAAGTTCGACATAACAAAATGCTAGAAATATTGGAAACAGCTGGATTGGACGATAAAGATCTACGAATAATTACAAATCTATACTGGCATCAAGTGGCAAGAATAAAGGTTGAACAAGAACTGTCGGATGAAATAAATATAAAAAGAGGAGTGAGACAAGGCTGTATATTGTCGCCTTTACTTTTTAACTTATATTCGGAGAAAATATTTAAGGAAGCCTTAATGGAGACAACCGCAGGTATTATTGCGAATGGAGTAACCGTCAACAATATTAGATATGCCGACGATACCATAGTCCTTGCCAATTGCGGAGAAGACCTTCAAAATCTAATGAACAAAAATAAAACAGACTTGTGATCAGTATGGATTAAAACTCAACGTTAAGAAAACTAAATATATGATAGTTAGCAAACAAAATTATATACATGATGACGGTATAAAAGTCGGAGATGCCACACTGGACAAAGTAGAGAAACTCGTGTATCTCGGCAGTAATATCAATGAGAGCTGGGATCCAACCGCAGAAATTAAAAGCCGAATAGAACAAGCCCGAGCTGCCTTTGTAAAAATGAGAAACGTACTTTGCAGTCACGATCTTAGCATTGACCTTAAAGTTCGTATGATATCTTGCTACATCTTTCCTGTCTTGCTGTATGGAGTAGAAGCGTGGACCCTAACTAAGGCTATGCTTAAACGCTTGACAGCCTTTGAGATGTGGGTATACAGACGACTACTGAAAATAAGCTGGGTCGACAGAGTTAGAAATGAGGAGGTCCTTAGACGGCTAAACCAAACAACACAACTGGTCAATATAATAAAGACACGCAAGCTGGAATACTTCGGTCATATTATGAGACACCCTGAAAAATATGATCTTTTACATCTGATCATTCAGGGAAAGATCCAAGGTAATCGTTGTCCTGGTAGAAGAAGAACATCATGGCTGAAAAATCTAAGGCAATGGTATGGAAAATCAACCACATCGTTATTTAGAGCTGCTGTCAATAAAGTCACGATAGCGAATATGGTAGCCAACATGATATCCAACGATCGATAACGGTCATGGAACTAGAAGAAGAAGAAGTATCGTTTTTATCGGTCAATTCTCTGACGATTGGACTTAAGAGAAATTTGATAGAATATTGACTATAGATGATGAGAAAAACTAATTATTTCACATAGTTTAAACATTTTTTGGGTAGGTCATACAGATTATTTTAAAGAACAACATAGCATACAAAGATACACTTCCATAAACTTTACTTTTGCCTGCCGTACTGCAGTGCTAGTAATAGAGCAATAAGCAATTAGGTAGGTAATATTGTAGTGATCTCGGAAATTGAGAAAGTGTGATCCGAAAGTCCTAATATAGACTCCAAAAATAAACAAACCGACGGGGTCAAACTCGTTAAATGATTGACATTGTTTTTCTAATTTATTTTATTCATTTGGGATATAAGCCTTTTATTGCCCGCTTGAATGATCTTGAGTTAATGCTGCTGTAAAATATCTTGTTCCACGAGAGAAAAATATATACCTTTTCTTTCGATTGTATATCTATACTTTCCAAACTATTATATTTCTAAAAAGCTCAATATTATCTTTAAATATAGTATTTAAAGATACTATATACTTTAAATATAAATATTCTTACATTTATTCTGCAACACTTTTGATGAAGTCCACTAGAAAATTTAAACCTAAGTGTAATTGATATCTTAATTTTAATGCATTAATTAAAATTGAAATCTTAGTAAGATATCTGGTTGTTTTCTGCACATAAGAAATCTTAGAAAGATATCTGGTTGTTTTCTTTAATAATTTTTTTACATTTGGGAATTTTCTTGATGTTTCTTTAATAAAAGTGGGGTTACATACTTCATAAGAATGCATGAGTAAAAGTGCGGAATACATACAGAATATGCAGAATATTACATAAGTAAAAATTGGGTTCATACTTCATAAAATAAATAAAATATATGCAAACAAAATAATAGAGGGGTTTCCGAAAGTTTTCAAAAATTGTTGTATATTAGATTTAAACTTGTTTGTTTATAAAAACTTATTTTGTTAAATGAAAAATGTTAATGTTAATGTTAATATACCTGGATTTTATTTTATTTTAAAATTGCCGCTTTGCTTGCTGTTACTGGTGTAAAATTACTATTTTTGTTGCAATTAAGCCACAATTTTAGTTTAAGATAAGTTTCTATTTAGGTTTCGACTTCCACTTCAGAAATCGTTCTCAAAAATAAATATAAACATTAATAAATAATATATATATATATATATATATATATATATATATATATATATATATATATATATATAGATATATATATATATATATATATATATATATATATATATATATATATATATATATATATATATATATGCATTTTAAAGTAGACGACTTTAAAATGACTTTGACAGTAATGTCGAGTTTCGTTCAATCATCTTCTACTGAAAAAAATCAAAGCATGTGATTGGTCTTTTAAAAAACAACCAAATGCAGTGGTTACAAAAAAGTTCTCCTGTTAGTGATTACATAGCAAATTATCAGGAAAAGACCTCCTAAAAGGAATTTAGCATAACTATAGCCGCTTCTTTGATTTTTCTCTATTTGTTTTAGCACTATAGTTAAATCAAGTATAGTGCTAAAAGAAACGGATGATACAAAGAAAAAAATTAAAGAAGCGGCTGTAATTATGTTAAATGAGGCCAATTGCATCGCAAACTCCTTAACAGATTTCAATAGGATCTGGTTACCCACATTAAAAGAGGAAATCAATAAAAAGCCACTATCTGCAAGTCACGTGTCTGATGGGTATTTTCAATTTAAAGTTGATTTCATGTAATCAAAGAAACTATATTACAATAAAGTCGTCCCAGAAACGCAACGTTTATTTTAAAATATATAATATATCCCTGAATTGTCAATATAAATGAGTTAAATAAAATTAAATTGTTGGAAGAATTTTTTGTATCGTTTTGTATTTTGAAAACGGTTTTTAAAGTGGAAATCGAAAGGTCAAAAATAAAATTAATTTTTCTACTTAAAGTGCGGCTTATTGCCAACAAAAATAGTAACTGCAATAAGATGCCACAAAAAAGCTCCAGAACAGTATTATAATATGTGAAACAATAAAACTATTAAGATGTTTGATGAATTTTTAACATAATATAGGTAAAGTAACAATACATAAATTTCACCACAGACTATCTGAAAATATATTGTTTGTTGTTAACTAGAAAACGAAGCATTTTCTACGTTCCTACATATCATTAGAGCCGTTATATTTACTAGCGCACACGCAAGTACTCGATCGAGATTTTGTACTTGCGACTTGTGTATTTATTAACATAACTTTACAAAAAAAATTTCATGTGGTGGTCTTTGGTAATATTTTTTTAATCTTCTTTTAATGTTTTGTAATTAGATGATACAACAATGGATGAAAAGTAACTAACATATAAATTTATTCAAAAAATAATTCTTTGATTCTATCTACATTACAGGGTTACCAGGTCCCAAAATCAGGTACCTGTCGTAAGGCTGATCTCCATGGCCCTTTGCCTGTGTCCAAGAACCTTAAACTGGGGCAGCGAAACTTCGTTGGAGACCCCCACCGAATTGGGACCTTCGTTCCACTTATACCGGATGTCTCGCATGGTGTAACCGACTGCAATCACAAGCCAGTGTGCCAAACTCGAGAATAGTATAATAACCAAAGGATTTTGTGTGTACTTTTTGTTAGTTCTTAAATAATATGACGTACAATACTATATGTTATTTTTTTAAATTTATTTTCAGTAAATTTAAATATCATTTATATTTCATAAGAGTGCGAGTTTTTACAAGCAGCTTAGGTTATCTGCGGGAATAATTACAATTGTTTTAAAGCCAAACCACACAGAACCATAAATCCGTAAATGATTTGTTTAGGTTATAGTTAAGGATGTTAAATCTTTTTATTATTAATATTTTGGAAACACCTTAAAACAAAGTAGCTATATATATATATATATATATATATATATATATATATATATTTATTTATTTGATTTTTTCAATTTCTTTCAAGTTTTCTTCGGATCTATTCCTAGTAATAGCTCAATTTTTTGTAGTTTTTTTTTAAATAAAAATAATATATTGCGAAAAAATTAATGATTTTTCTATAATCAGATATTACAAGTACAAGTTAAAAAAAATGAAAATAAAAAAATAAGACGTTAAGACTAGAAAAGTATTCTCCAGCCAGTATTACATTTTGTTTATACCACAGGTAGTCTTGGTACAATACCTCATCAATTACCCCTTTTAACCCATGAATACCCAGCGTTGCATTTTCGCAACAGTTGACATGACTTATGACGAGGCAGTTAAAGTTTCGATTAATTTCACAACAGTTTCTTATGTATTTTTTATTAAGGAATTAGTCGCAAAACATAGGATTCTATTAACATATGACATATTGAAAGTGAATAGGTTAATTATGATTTCTGTAAATACGTGTTTTTAGTTAGAATTAAGTCTCGTCTGTGTATAAATTAACTTGATAAAAATTTGGTTTTTGGTAGCAACGTACTGTTATATCATTGAAAACGATATATCCATCAAGTAAGTGCTATTATTTTATCTGTGCTAGTTAGTCTAACTGCCCCATTTTCAGTGTTTTGTTTTCGCAATACTGAGTACAAGGCATTATTATTACAAAAAATCACTTTTTTTCTATAAGTTAGAAATAAGATGACAAATCAACTTGACTCGACCATTTTCGGTCGTACTAGTAATAATAGTCTTCCTAAAATTTTTTTAGAAATCAAGGCACATAGAATTATTTTCATGCTAAAAGAATTAAACCTTATGGAGTCAGCTTTGAGTGCAGATGTTATTTTAGCATCTCCTGACCATACTAAATTGACTGATGAAGATAGGGGAGATCAAGACTATGGAGCACCGTTTAATAATCTAAACAAAAATGTGTTGGATGTGGAATCAGAAGCTCTAATTTATCAAGAAGAAGAAAAAATCGATGAAGAACATATAAATCTATGTGAAAAGGGGGCAGATCGTCAAAGTGTAAGAAGATATGGCAGAGATTGAGATGAAAACAGAAATAAAGTCACAAAATGAAACAATTCAAGCCTCTACAGAGATTCGTGAAAAAAATGTAACTCTCCTACCACGGAAATGGATTCAGAGATATTTAAAAGATGAAAATTGTCTTTATTTGGATACTAAACATAAAAAAACTTAATGAAATATATACACTATTTAATTTTATTCACGATCACTCACTCCTTAACAGATCTTTGACTTTTTTTTTAATAAACAGCTTTTAACAAATATTGTAAAGGATGCAGTTTGTTATGCTGTTCAAAAAGTTAGCACTTTAGAATTTGGGGTAGATGAGTTAAATGTCTTTATAGGGATTTTACTAGTTATTGGGTACAGCACAAATCCAAGAAAACGCATGTACTGGGAAGAATCTGATGACGTTAAAATATACTGATTTCAGTTAACATGCATCGTAACCGATTTAAATTCATTGTAATATTTCTCAATTTAGCCATTACCCAAACACAGATCATTCAAACGAAACACACAAAATTTCTTTGTACCTTAAAAGTCTCCGCAAATCATTTACTGAATACACTGTATGGAAAACGCAGTTGAGCGTGGATGAGGCCATAATACCATACTATGGGCGTCATGGTAAAAAACAACATATAAAAGGTAAGCTCATACGCCTTGGGTATAAATCGTGGTGTTGGAATCAGAAATCTGGTTACCTCATAGATTTCAATATTTATTAAGGAGCCAAGGAAAAACTTAATGGATATAAAAAATAATTTGGGTTTGAAGGTGGAATAATATTGCATTTTGCTTAAATTATTTCTAAAATTCAATGCGATAGAATTATGCCTCATTGCTTATATACTGATAATTGTTTTACTTCTATTAAACTAATTTATTGTTTAACATTGAAGGGAATAGGTTACGTAGGAAAGATATGATCAAATATAACAGAAAAGTGTCCATTCAGTGAAACATTAAAAAAATCCATACAAGGAATTTACGAAAATTGGTACGACGAAAAAAAAATGTAGGTAGAATGACAACAGCATAGTCACTTTGGCCTCGAATTACCATAAAAAGATGTCAGTTTATCGAGCGAACAGATACTCCTTTGCCTAAAGCAAAAATCAAAATAACACAACCACATCTCAGTGGGCTTATAACGAAAATATGGGAGGAACTGATCGGATGGATCAAAATGTTGCCTATTACAGAACAAATATAAGATCAAAGAAATGGAATGGGCCTTTATTTATCTGAGGTCTTGGTGTCTCTACACAAAATGCTTGATTAATTTATCGTAGAATGAGACACGATTATCCTTGAATAACCCGAAATGGTTTTACTGCAGTTTCCATAAACAACATTATACAAGATGTTCAATTCGACGACATCGGTCATCCTATTTCTACCCAAGAAAAACGAACCACATGCGTTTTTTGTCACTCAGCGACCAATAAAAAATATATTGAATGTAAGGTTGCCTTACATAAAAAAATGTTTTATTAAATTTCTTAATAAAACGCAATAATTTTTTTTATATTATTTTTATTTATACTCTTTTATATTATCTAATAAAATATTTTAAGCAACGAATTTAATTTTTTTTTCTACATCCTAACTGTCCAGTGTTGCGTTTTTGCAACAGCCAATTACCAAAAAAATTAGAGTTTTTTAAAAAATTTTTAACATATATTTTTGTAAATTTTGTAACTTTAGGAACATAAATTTTTTAGAAATAAAAAAATAAAACATAAATAGTTCTGGCCATGGGTTAACCACTTTTAATAGAAAGAACCAACCAGAAGAAAAATATGTCCAATATCCTACAAAGGTATTATAAAAATCTTAAAAAGTTAATATCTTTATTTTTTCATTCATAGAAAAAAAGATAATGCTTATACTAAAATAATGAAATATACTAAATAAAATCTAACATAAATCCGCAATGAATATAAAGCAATCTTAAATATACAAGTTGGACAAGTTGAAGTATTTAGGCAAAATCATAGACCATCGTATTTCAATTTCAAGGAATTTCGTTCACGATTTTATCCATTTTTGTGTACTGAAAATGTTATATGAAATAAGCAAAAAAAGAAAATTTAGAGTTAAAAAAGGGTGCGTTTTTTTGAAAATCGAATTTTTCTAATTTTCCGCTGTTTTACTGTTTCAAGAAAAAGGTTTTCATTTGCATGACCTGCTGTTAGTCTTTTTTTTTTGCAGGTATTTTATCCTGAGATCCGATAGCACCTATGAAAAAAAAAATTAATAACAGTATCAATACTCCATCGATTGGTAAAATGGCAGAGGGTCAAAGTTAAAAAAAATTCCAAAAAATGTTCAGTTTTTTTGAAAAGATCCCTGGAAGACCACAAATGTTTTTCTCTCTTTTATTCTATTTTTTAGTTCTCGCATAAGGGGTAAAATCGTGGACGAACTTCGTCGGAAATCTGACGGTCTCAGTGCGCGCCTGAAGTACGCCTTATCTAATTAATGAACAATAAAGCTTAATCTAAGATCATGAATGTGTTGCTTGTGTGAGTCCATTTCAAATAGGTAAAGAAATAATAAATAAGACTTAATCACAATCAATTTAATTTAACTATCTGACGACCGGTTTCGCTTTCTACAATATGCAAAGCATCCTCAGGTCTCGATACAAAGTTAAACAAATGCTGAAATAATAAAAACAAAGTAGATGTTGTAAATTACAATAATTATGCCAATATTACATGTCTGTGGTTTTATTTAAATGAGTAAGTTGAATAAAAGGTATAAAATTTTTAAAAGTTTAAACAGACAAGGTAAGGCCCACAAATTGTTATAAAATAGTCTCTTCGATTGTAATAAATTAACAAATGTGCAAATAAATAAATAAAATAAACACCGGTACTCTATTAATTGATGGATGGTAGAACATGGTTGAAAATACTATATATTATTGAATGGAGAACTCAATTCTATTATTGCAGTTGTTTGACAGTAAACGGGAAGTTCTTAAGGAGATAGATTTGATCCAATGAAGAAGAGATATGTGTGTGATTGTTTGTTAAATGAAAGTAATGTAATATATCATTGTGTTATTAAAAGCTATTTATACTTATTCGAGAGATATATTTTTGAAATGTGTGTTATTTATTGAGTAATTGTTTTAAGAAGGTGACAGTTTTATGACAATGAATAAGTTTAGATGTAAAAATTGTGTGGGTGTGCAATTATTTTCCAACCTGTAGTTATCAAATTACTTTGATAAAGTTCTATTGGCAATTAGTAAATTATTTTAAAGTCAAGTGAATAAAATATTAAAATACAAACAATTAAGGACAATTTAAACACACTAAAACAGAAAACACTTAGAAGGGACGAAACAAACATTGAATTTAAAAAGGGGGGAAGGGCTTTAATGCACTACATCGTAGTCTTGGACACAATGAGTTTTTTTATGTTTTATCTATTAGATTTTAGTGGTAAATTTGACAGATGTAGGTTAGCATGTGACAGTTCTTCTTCTGTTTCTCAATACTGTAAGTTAAGTTATCTAGTTTTATGAAATATGCTGTTATTAATGAATGTCTATAAATTGTTTCAATTTAGATA